TAACATACTACTGTGGTGTGTTGTCAAATCTCAGAAACTGATGCTAGTACATTACATTAGCTAAACCCCAGGCTCTGTGGGTTTCACCAGGTTTTCCATTGATGTCCTCCTTCCGATCCAGGATCCGTTCTGGGATGCTACATTGCATTTCATTGATATGTCTCCCCAGACGCATCTGGTCTGTGACAATTTCTTAGTCTTTTCTTATTTTTCATGACCTTGACAGTCTGGGAGTATTGGCTAAGTGTCTTGTAGAATATCCCGCAATCTGAATTTGTCTGATGTTTTCCTCATTATTAGACAGAGCTCCCAGGTTTTTGGAAGAAATACCACACAGGTGAAACAGTGTGAAATGCCTTTCTCATTACATCCTCTTGGGTATATGAGAGCCACGTGACATTACCAATGCTAACCTTCATCACCCTAGTTAAGGTAGTGCTTGCCAGCTTTCTCCACTGTGTTTCCTTATTCTTGGGAAGCAAGTCAGTAAGCCTAGCGCATCCTTAATGGAATTGGTGGGAATTTAAGTTTCCCTTCCTGATGGAAGTAACTACATAAGAGTATTTGGAATTCTGTGAGGAAATTGTCTCTTCTCACTCTTAATTTATATTAGTATGTACTCATGTATGTTTATTTTATACTTAGGTTATAATCCAGTTCTACATTATTTTCATTGCTCAAATTGTCCCAGCTCTGGGCATTGGGAGCTCTTTCAGGTTGACTCCTGTGTCTCTTTGATACATCTACATCCTTTTCCTTTTTTGAGCACTTTCTAAAGAACTTTCCGAAACACAAGATGCTTCAGACTTAACCTTGTATTTTCCCAGCCCCAGCCCTAGAATCAGCCATTTCTCCAAGGAGCCTTCGTTCTTTTTATTGGAGAATGGTATTTAGAAACTTAAGATCTAGTCCTAATATATTTTACATTCAGTTAATAGCAGCCTGTGTCTAACGTGATTGAATCTGGATTATGGTCCCTTCAGAAACTGAAATTGAAGTTATTCTGATGGTCTTTCCAATTTCCCATCAGCCTATGGTTTCCCTTCCCTTCCTACCTATCCAAGAATCCTTAGTCACTTGTTTATACAGTGGCTACCAGCATTCTCAATTACTTTGCTCATTTGACTCCCTTTGCTTTTCAATCACTCAGCCATGGGTAAACTCAGTCATTGGATTTCCTTATTTAGCCATTAGCAATATAACATTTTAACATTTGGCTTTATTGGAGGGTATTTTTGGGGGGGAGTTGGGTGTTTGGGGGTTTTTGTTTTGTTTTTGGTTTTGGTTTTGTAGCCCTAAATGGGCCTTTAATAGCTATATCATCTGTTCATTCAGTAAACATTTATTGGGCCCTTGCTATGTCCCGGGTGCTGAGCTAGGTTGAGGATAAAAAATAAGACCAGTCCTGCCACCACATACTTGATAGTCTGGTAAGTGAGAGAGATATCATTACTTGCAGGGTTCCCAATCCTGACCCCATTTTTTAACAGATGCTTTACTTCCTATTTCGTGGAGAGAACGTTTAAGCATGAATTTCCTCAAACTTCCCTCACCTCTCCCTATCTCCCTACAAACAGCCGTATACTCACCAATGCTAGTTTACCTCCTTATCTTATCTTTTTTTTTTTTTTTTAAGATTTTATTTATTTAGGGCGCCTGGGTGGCTCAGTTGGTTGGGCGACTGCCTTCAGCTCAGGTCATGATCCTGGAGTCCCGGGATCGAGTCCCGCATCGGGCTCCCTGCTCGGCGGGGGGTCTGCTTCTCCCTCTGGCCCTCCTCCCTCTCATGCTCTCTGTCTCAAATAAATAGATAAAATCTTTAAAAAAAAAAAAGATTTTATTTATTTATTTGACAGCAAAAGAGGGAACACAAACGGGGTGGGAGAGGGAGAAGCAGGCATCCCGCTGAGCAGGGAGCCCGATGCCGGGCTCCATTCCAGGACCCTGGGATCCTGATCTGAGCAGAAGGCAGATGCTTAACGACTGAGCCACCCAGGCGCCCCTCCTTATCTTTTCTTGGGAGAGAAAGTTGGCCTTTGCAACGCCAGCCCTACTACCTGTGCTCTTAACCTCATTTCCTCATTTGGATAGTATTTTCCCCTTTCATCTTCAGTTTCTCCTGGGTTCCCTTTCGTCTTCCTATAAGCATGTTAAAATCTCTCCCCCTGTCCCTCTGCTTCCACTTCAAGCTTCAGATCTAGTTCTTTTCATTTCCAAAGTTAGTGAAAGTAGTTGACAATTTTTGTCTTCTTTTAGTGAGCCCCTCAGGCCACTTTGTTCAGCACCTATCATGTACGAAATTGTTTCTTAGGAACATCTGCAATCTGGTTGCCAGCTCCAGTGGTCTTTCAGTCGTTTGCCTCTTAGACCTCTTGCAACCATGTACATCTTAGAGCTTCATTCCCTTGGAGTGTGAGACTGATACTCCTGGTTCTCCTTCATAGCCACTTCTTCCTCTGTCCCTTAAATGTTGGTGTCCCTGTCTTGTGTCCTTTCCCTTACTCTACCTTTCACCCCCTTAAACAAGTTGCATCCACTCTTTAGCTATCCCAAATCTTAAGCCCTGCCTTTTCTCTCAACCTGGCAGACTGCTTACGGGACATTTTCATCTGGATGTCCCACAGATAACTCAAAATCAAGATGTAAGAAGGAGAAATGATCCTTTGTGTTCCCCATCTCACTTAACAGTATTACTACCCCTTGATCATTTATACTTGAAACCTCAGAATCATCTTTTTAATTCTCACTTTCAAATACCGACATTCATTTGATTACCAATCCTGTCAATATTACCAATACAATGTATATCAACTTTTTCCCTTTTTATTTCCACTGTCCTAGTACTCACCATGGCTACTGCTCAGGTCTCATAACTGATCTCTCTGCTTCTAGTCTTCCCAAACCCTAGTCATCCATCTTCCACATTGCCACCAAATCCCTCCCTAAAATCTTTTACTTTCAGGAAAAGTCTAGTCTCCTTGATAATAGACCTGAAAAACCTTTCCAGTCTGGTCCCACTCTGTCTCTAGGGTGATTTTCTGCTTCATATCTCATACCCCTTTCTCCTGCTCACTACCCCCTGCCCCCAACACACACTTTATTTTTGATGCTCCCTTTGCCTATAATCATCACCCTCCTTTTACTTGTTTTCAGTGTGTTTACCTTCAAGACAATTTGTCCCTTTCTCTTTGAAACCCTCTAGGTACTTTTCTTCTATGCCCTGTACAGAATTAGCTTATTTGATCTTTCTGCTTATATAGCTCCTTGCTCATACCCCTTGGTCTGACCCATAATTTTCTGGTTACTTGTTGATATATCTTCCTGCCTTTCTGGACTATGAGATCCTGGAGGACAGGAAACACGCATCTCTTTGTAGGCCCAGCACCTACTGAAATTCCATTTTAAGACGGAGACCTTGGGGCACCTGGCTGGTTCAGTTGGAAGAGTATGTGACTTTTGATCTCAGGGTCATGAATTTGAGCACCACGCTGGGTGTAGAGATTACTTCAATAAAAAAAGAAAGGCTGAGACTTAATATTTTCTGAGTTGAATGAATAAACAACTCATGTTAGCTCTGTAGACAGGGGGTCAAAGGTAACTTACTGGGCCACTGCAGACTTGAATCAGGATCCTGATGAAGAAAGATCTTTGTATATGTGGAATCCAGGGAAACTGTTTCTATGCTGGGGTCCTTTCTCAGGACCTTCCTAATCCCTCAGCATTCAGATTATTACCCCTTCTATCACCACCTCACCCTATAAACCTGGCTGGGATGTTTCTGTCTTTGAGAGGAGTAGTCACCCAAGGCTTTGGGTGAGGAGGCGGCCTTTCTGCCTCATCCTTACTTTGCTCCCCTCTGGAGGAGGTAGTCTCCTGAAACACTCCAGACACAAGAAGCTATTTGACCTTCAACTCCCCACCTGCCCTCCAACCCTCCAGACTTAACTGATCTGGGAGCAGGAAAATAGCTGTAACTAAGTACAACATTCCATCTCACTGGCAGGGCCCTGCCGACTCCAAGAAGGTCCCAGGGAGGGATGGGCAGCTATCCATCTGCCTCTGGCCCTGGTCATTCCTCCGGCTGCTCCTTCACAAGTACCGGGGCTTTTACTCTCTCCTTCCTTCATGCAGGCTCCCCAGGAGAAAGGCTCCAGAATTAGACAGTTAATACCTATACCCTCAGTCCTGGTCTAAGCCAGACCGTTCCCAGAAAGGGTTTCTAGGCAACCACCAGGGGGACAGAAGGCTAGGAAAACGGAACCAGTCCCCTCTGACTCTTAATTCTCAAGGGAGCCAACTGCTCACAGGTACGGAAATGATTACCTATTACTGAAATGCTTTACTCTAGGGAGGAGTCTGGTGCAGCTGGACTCCTGTCTCCTATTGCAGCACAAGTGTAGACTTCTTCCATCTCCGTGCTGCCATTCACGCTGCACACCCTGAGCTCTGCCTTCACATTATACAGTCCCTGCAGCTTAATAAATATAGAAGGTGGACTATGGATATTAGTCATCAGAGGAGGCCAATTTGCCCTTTGAAGCAGCCTGAGTTTCTCCTATGTCTGCTGACCTCTGGTGGCGGTAGTTTGAACTGTACCCTCCCTTTCTAGTTAGCGGCCTGCTGGCAGGTAATGGTGTATATTTTCTCAATAATCCAAATTCAAATATTCAAATACTGTATCAAATGGAAATATTTTTTATTACTGAATTTTTTGTTTTCAGGCATCACAGAATAAAGAACAGGGCCTGGGCTTTGGAATCAGATTTACCTAGGTTCAAATCCTAGCTCTGCTATTTCCTAGCAGAGTGACCTTGGGCAAGTTACCTAAGCTCAGCTTTCTTACCTGTATAGTGAAAATAATAATAAATAACTCAATGGGAGAATGAGATGAGATGACTGTAAAATGCATAGCCCTAGCTGTGCCCTAGCACATAGGTGCTCAATAAAAGTGGTTTTTTTTTGTTTTGTTTTGTTTTATTTTACCTTCTCAGTGATTTTTTTCAGTGTATGACTCAAGATGATTTTTTAAATTTTGGTAACATAAAATTTACCATTATACCCATTTTCAATGTGACTTTTTTAAACTCTGAGAAATTTTATATGACTCTTTTCTGATTCTGGAGTTTGGAAACTGAGGTCAACTTTAGTATGGTTTATGAAGCCTCTCTTTGCCCAGAGAGCTGCAGATCTGAGCCCTGAAAAGAAGGGATATTGGGCACAGCTGAATGGCTCCGTTGACCTCACTCTGGTTTCCAACCTAGGAAGGGCTGACAGGCTCCAGCACTTTCTTCCAGGGTCCGCAAAGGGCAGAGGCTTGAAGTTAGGCATCACTGGGTTCTCAGCTGGGCCTCTAAGACCCCTCCTCCCACTTTGCAGAGCAAAGAGGAGGCGGCTGCAGAGGATATGAGCTCCTCTGCTCCTCCCTCTCCTTGCTTTTCCCCACACCCACCCTCTCCCCCACAGCAGCCATCTCCCCCACAGAGACTGGGAAGAGGGAGGGGGCGGGGTTGGGGACTGAGGGATCAGAAGCCCCACAGCGCCCTGTCTCTGAAGGAAGCTCTGGCCAGGGCAGCTGTGCTGGCTCATGCTCCCCTCCTAGTGCTGCGTGCCCCCTCCGGCATGATGCTGGGGACTCTGGGCCTTTGGGTACCACTTCCCACAGCTGTGCGCGGTAAGTGTCTACAGGGAGGGGCAGGGCCTTTTCACTCACCCACGGAGGGAAAGGGGCACTGGAAGCAGCAGCCACCCCCTTGAAAGCGTGAGTGGGGTGGGTAAGTGAGGGCAAAAAGTAGAGCCATGTGTCCCCACGGTGAGGTCAGGTTCCAGACCTCTGCTGACCCTGTTTCCTCCTCTGGGTTTACTGTGCTGGCCCTAGGGTATGAAACAGGTTGCGTCTCTCCTTTTGGCTGCTGCTTTGGCCCCTGCATTCATGCCCATCTTGAACCCTCCCCTCTCCCCACCCTGGGCCACAGCACCCCCAAGCAGGCGGACCTGTGTGTTCTTTGAGGCCCCTGGAGTGCGGGGAAGCACAAAGACACTGGGGAAGCTGCTAGATGCAGGACCAGGGCCCCCCAGGGTTATCCGCTGCCTCTACAGCCGCTGCTGTTTTGGGATCTGGAACCTGACCCAAGACCAGGCACAGGTGGAGATGCAAGGTGAATGGCCAAGTATATAGCAGGTAGTAGCTTGGGTGGGAGACAGGTACATCCTGGGCTGGGGGTGACAGCAGCGGGAGAGGAGGAGAAATGGAATGTGTGGAGGGCAAGAAAAGCCTGTATGAGATGGAGGGGTTGCCTCTGATAGAGAAGGGGGTTATCCTCTCTGTTCCTAGACTCTATTATGCTCGCTTGCCCTCTCTCTCTCTCCCTTTCGCCCTTTCTCTCCTCTTCTAATCCCACCCCATCAGGATGCCGAGACAGTGATGAGCCAGACTGTGAGTCCCCCCACTGTGACCTGAGCCCCCGAGCCCACCCCAGCCCCAGGTCCACTCTCTTCACCTGCTCCTGTGGCACTGACTTCTGCAATGCCAATTACAGCCATCTGCCTCCTCCAGGGAGCCCTGGGACTTCTGGCTCCCAGGGTCCCCCACCTGTCCCAGGTAGCCATGCAGGGTGCTGGGGCCTGGTGGGGGCTGGGGCCCAGGTTAGGGTGAGAGGTAGAATCAGGGCCAGTTCTCACCCTACCGCCATCCCAAGTTGTCCTCCTCCTGGCCTTGAGAAGTTGGTTGCCTTGGTGACTGGGAGATAAGGGGCTTGTGACCAATGTGGGGGTGGGTCCAGAAATAAGTTCTCTGAGGAGGGGGAGAGGAGCAGAGTGGATTTGGGGCAGGGCTCATCCAGGCTGCATTCTTGCCTTACTGTCCAGGCGAGTCCATCTGGATGGCACTGGTGCTGCTGGGGCTATTCTTCCTCCTCCTGCTGCTGCTGGGCAGCATCATCTTGGGTACTAATCGACTTCATCCCTCCCTTGTGACTCCAAGTCACTGCCCCAAAGCTCTGACCCCTCTCCGGGTTCCCCTGACCCCATGGTTCTGAGATCTCTACAGCCTGAGCCCCTTACCTCCCACAAAGCCCTTTTCCCAGTCTCCATGCCTATGCACCCTGACCCGAGGGCTCTTCTGCCCCAGCCCTGCTACAGCGAAAGGCCTGCAGAGTACAAGGTGGGCCAGAGCCTGGGCCAGAGCCAGAGCCAGAGCCAGACTCAGGCAGGGACTGGAGTGCTGAGCTGCCCGAGCTGCCTGAGCTGCGTTTCTCCCAGGTGCCCGGGGGGG